TCCGAGAGAACCGTGACTGGCCCAGGGTCACCCAGCAGGCTTCATGTGGAAGAGGAGTCGGCAATCAAACCCGGTTCTCCAGATTAGAGTCTGCTGCTCTTAACCACTACACCGTGCTGGACTAGACGGACCACTGGTCTGATCCGGCGGGGCAGTCTCGTTTTAAATTTAAATCCTCGCTGAACTACTGAGTGATGTTGTGCAAGTGAAGAACATGCTTGTAGCTTTAAGAACATAAGAGAAGCCGTGCTGGATCAGGCCAGTGGCTTATCCATTCTGACACTTCTGTGTCACACAGTGGCCAGAACTCAGGGGCCATTAGGAGGTCCACCAGTGTTATTCTCTTTCCAGTTAGTCTGCCTCGCAGGTCTGTAGTGAGCGTATGATAAGGCCCCGAAGTCACTTGCAGGGCAGGAGAACTAACCTTTCCCCCCCCCCCCTTCTTCCGCAGAAAAACAAGAGAAAGAAGTCGACATGTATGCAAACCTCTCGGATGAAAAGGCTTTTGTGTTTTCGGTGGCCTTGGCAGAAATAAACAGAAAAATCATCAACCAAAGACTGATTCTCTGATTATCTCGTTGGCTCGGGTGCGTGCAGCGGCATTGAAGCCAAGTAGCGGATTTTGGATATTTGGCAGCCTCTTGAACAGTAAATCCTCTCATCTCTATCAATGGAGAAGGATGGCAGGACATACAATTCCCTGGTTGAAATTCTGCTACGGATGGCAGTTTTGGAAGTCTACAGACTGTTATTGATCCAGCTGTCTGCGGAGAAGCAAAGCGTTCAGCACTTTGCCTATGGCGGAAGGAAGAAAAAGCGTCATCCTTTAAATTCTACAAAGACAGCTTCTTCGAGGATGCACGCAGTAACAAACTGTTGTTTTTCCTTCCGGAACTATCTCAATTAACTTAAATTTCCTCTGTGACATAGATTCTCAGCTATATCAAAACTTACACGTGTATAGTTCTAATCTTTTAATAAATCGGTATTTTATGGACACCGTTGACTCTTTGTAATGGGTTTCATGTAAAGCAATTCTATGCCCCCTTTCTCTTACGTCTTGGCTTTGGATTCGTTCCTCGTACGTTGAAGAGGAGTCCAGGGGAACCCTGAAGATGAACACACGCAATGTCCAGTGAGTCTGATTTCACTTTGTCAGATTCATGATGTTGCCATGATGATGTCGTTATTGTAGCAGGAACTCCTTTGCATATTAGGCGACACACCCCTAATGTAGCCAGTCCTCCAAGAGCTTACAGTAGCCCCTGTCAGAAGAGCTCTGTAAGGTCTTGGAAGATTGGCTACATTAGGGGTGTGTCGCCTAATATGCAAAGGAGTTCCTGCTACAAAAAGAATCCTGGACTGTCTGGTGAAGGAAGCTCTGAATTGTGAAAACCTGTCCTGGAATAAAACTGGTCCTAATGTTCCCTCTAAGCTGTGGAGTCTTGTGAGCAAAAATTCCACTTTGTGAGCTACTGGCATTAAAGTTGTGAGCGAGCGATTTGGCTACTGCATCAATTAGTTTGCTCTGGAGCCCTCCTTCCTGAGCTAAGACAAAAATGTTTGAGCCGGAGGCTAAAAAACTGAGCTAGCTCACATTAACTCAGCTTAGAGGGAACACTGCATGTAGCCGGAGTCCTGTTAAACTCTCCTGCAAGAGATGTAACACAGCTATCCCCTGGGTTCGTGAAACACAGTTTGAAGTCAATAAACAGGTGACAGATGTGTGATCTCTTGGCAATAAAGAGGGAAATCGAGCACGTGTCTCTCCCAGAATCAGAAATGCATCTTTCCTGATTCAAAATTATTGTAATGCTCTTGGCTATCAATATTTTAACACTAATCTTGTGACCAGTGTTTCCTCTAAGCTGAGTTAGTGTGAGCTAGCTTACAGTTTTTTAGCCTCCGGCTCACACATTTTTGTCTTAGCTCAGGAAGGATGGCTCCAGAGCAAACTAGCCAAATTGCTCGCTTACAACTTTAATGCCAGCAGCTCACAAAGTAGAATTTTTGCTCACAAGTCTCCGCAGCTTAGAGGAAGCATTGACTGTGACTACTTATTTTACTTCATTTATACCCTGCTTCTGTCCCTAATGAGGACCCAAAGCTGTTTACATCCTCCTCTGTTTTTATTCTCACAACAACCCTGTGAGGTAGGTTGGGCTGGGAGCATGTGACAGGCCCAAGGCCGCCCAGGGAGCTTCGAGGGCAGAGTGGGGACTCAAACCTGGGACTTACAGATCCTAGCCTGCTGCTCTAACTACTACACCACACTGCCTCTGACTGACAAGGCTTCTGTTAAAATGTCTGCTAGAATTCGATGAGGTGCCAAGAGGAATGATCTTGGAGCTGTGGATCGGAGCTGTAGGCCACCTGCTGGCCGCCCTTGGTATTGAAGTGAAGGGACACAGGTTCAATGTGTGTAGAAGGTGGGGTCGTTTCGTAGAAAAAGAGCTAGGGGAACTCATTAGCATAGCTCATTAGCATATGCCACACCTCCTGACATCACCGGAAGTGTGTCATAAGGCCACACCCCCTGACATCACCGGGAGTGTGTCATAAGGCCACACACCCCGCCCCCAACGGTCCCGGCCGCCACCGCCGGCCTTGCAGCTTCACTGCCGAGCCCCATGAGGGGCCCGGCGGTGGACCTGCAAGGCCGGCGGGAGTGCAAGGAAGCCCCGCGAAGGCCTTCCCTGGCCCCAGGCAGGCAGGGGTGGGGAGAGGCAGGGAGGAAGCAACTTACCCTCCCTCTTCTCCTGCCTCCTCCTGGCTGAATGAGGGCCGGAAGCAGGGGGCGGGGCTTCGTCATGTGCCCCGCCCCCGTACCTCACCCGGGGGAACTGCGATCCCCCGTGATCCCCCCCGAAATGACCTCTGGTAGAAGGTCTTCCAGCTCAGGGAACTTGGGTAGTGGAAGAAATCTTCCTCTGCCTCAGACCCTGGAGAGCTGCTGCCAGTCAGAACAGACATTGCTGAGTGATCGTCTGGGCCAACAGCCTGACTCAGTATAACTCAGCTTTGTAGATGCGCTGTGTTTCCTACCCTTGTTGCCGAGCCTGTGATGCAAACTGTTGTAATGGGAAGGGGCATCTCCCCCCCCCCCATCAAATTCGCTTTTTTAAACTGTGGAGAGCCAGTTTGGTGTAGTGGTTAGGAGCGTGGACTCTAATCTGGGAGAACCGGGTTTGATTCCCCACTCCTCCACATGCAGCTGCTGGTGTGACCTTGGGTCAGTCACAAGCAATGTTCCCTCTAAGCTGTGGAGTCCTGTGAGCAGAAATTCTACTTTGTGAGCTACTGGCATTAAAGTTGTGAGCAGGTAGTTTGGCTGCTGCATAAAATTAGTTTGCTCTGGAGCCATCTTTCCTGAGCTAAGACAAAACTGGGAGCTGAAAGGTTTAAAAAATGGTGAGTTAGCTCACACTAACTCAGCTTAGAGGGAACACTGGTCACAAGTTTTCTCAGAGCTGTTCTCACAAGAGCAGTCCTTGAAAGAGCTCTCTCAGCCCCACCTACTTCACAGGGTGTCTGTTGTGGGGAGAGGAAGGGAAAGGAGTTTGTAAGCCACTCTGAGACTCCAAGTGAAGGGCAGGGTATAAATCCAATCTCTTCCTCCTCCTCCTCCCCTTCTATAGAGGAATTGATTTGTCTTACTCTCTTTCCCCCCTTTTTAAAGGAGGGGTTTCTCTTTCATTTCGCCTTGATTTCTCTTTGCAATTTCAGCCCTTGCAGTTTTTTTTTTAATGTTACACTTCAGAGGGTGGTGGTCTGGCAGGAGGATAGGGAGGTTGATGTCGGCTCAAGACATTGCCTGCCCTCTGAGGACGTACAGAGTGAGATTCTGGAATGATGCAGACCTTCCCTTCCTGCCCCTCGTTTGTCTCTTCAGATTTCTCTTTGGTCAAAATGGAATTGATTAGCGGCTGATTCCCAATCCCTAAAAAGAAAGAAAAGAAATGGAGGTAGGTTTCAGGGAGAAACTGGGTAAAGAGGAGTTAAAAGCATTTCTCTTAACAGTGCTAGCTAAGTGGGTGTCTGGAGATAACTTCAGTGAGCAAAATAGCTCACTGAAAGCTAGGAACAGCTTAATGGAAAAAGATGGACACCCCACCCCCTTTGTCTTGCAGAAGAGAGCTGGTGCTTCTTTCCTAGAAGCAATTTTATTTTCCAAATAAGGACTAAACAGAATAGAAGAACATTGCAAAGTGTGGAAAAAATGCACTTTGGACTCTTCGGTTCTTAATATGATTAAAATAACTCTTGACTTCACTGGAAGATCTTAACCAAAGCCTACCATTTCTAACATTTTGTGATTTCTGACCCGTAGTTCTCTGTTTCTTTTAAACTGGATAATAGATCTTCCAATGTTTTTAATTCTTTTTTTGTATTCGTGTGTGTGTGTGTGTGTGTGTGTGTGTGTGTGTGTGAGCACCTGGAAGCCATGTTGACCTCTAGTGACTGACCCCTACTGGGGGCCTGGAGGATATTCAGCGAGGAGGCTGAATAAAGCCTGCCCCTGCCTTCCGGCTCTGGTAGTCCACAGAGAGGTCTCCCATTCAAGGACTTGCCACAGTCGGCCCTGCTTAGCTTCCAAGTTCTTGCGAGATTGGGCTTCCCTGGGCTGTCCAGGTCAGGGCTAATGTTTCTCATTCTCGATAGTGTGTAAAGGCACAACTGCATTGGATATTTTGCTTCTTGGAAGTTAGTATTTGCCAGTTTAGTTTCAGGTTCTCTTTTGACTTAGAAGTGCGAACGGAGTCATTTGCTCCTATGGCACTTTAAGCTAGGATCAATTGAGGGGGCAGAACTGTAGGATCCACTCGCTTGTTTCTGTGTAAATGATAAAGATGCGTTGACCTGGGTTTTGAGGAGTTTTAGAACTAAAATTCAGGTTCAGGAGCACTTTGAAGACCAACAAAATTTCCCAGGCTATAACCTTTCACGAATCAAAGCTCACATCATCAGATACAAATGAGAATGAATAATCACCAGACCTTCAATGCAGGTCAGAAGGTGGGAAGAAGAAGAAGAGATTGGATTTATCCCCCGCCCTTCACTCCCCGAAGGAGCCTCAGAGCGGCTTACAATCTCCTTTCCCTTCCCCTCCCCACAACAGACACCCTGTGAGGTGGGTGGGGCTGAGAGAACTGCTCTTGAGAGAAACAGCTCTGACAGAACTATGGCTTGCCCAAGGTCATCCAGCCAGGTGCAAGTGGAGGAGTGGGGAATCAAACCCATGGAAGCTGGCTGCGTGACCTTGGGCCAGTCGTTCTCAGTCTCACCTACCTCACAGGGTGGTTGTGAATATTGAATGGAGGAAGAGAAAATGATGTAGGCCACACTGGGTTCCTGTTGGGGAGAAAAGTATGGTGTAAATATCTAAATTTAAAAAGGCATCTTCTGGGTCTACTTTGGGGTGCTAAATCATACAAATCATACCCTGAAAACACCCAGAAATAAAAGCCAAGGAGGGGGTGCAGAGCAGTGTTCCCTCTAAGCTGAGTTAGTGTGAGCTAGCTCACCGTTCTTTTTAGCCTCTGGCTCACACATTGTTGTCTTAGCTCAGGAAGGATGGCCGCAGAGGCAAATTAACTTATGCAGTAGCCAAAGCGCTCGCTCACAACTTTAATGCCAGCGGCTCACCAAGTAGAATTTTTGCTCTCAAGACTCCACAGCTTAGAGGAAGCATTACAAAGTCACTGGCAGAAGAAGAATTTGGAATCAGATCCAAAAAGTCATGACAAGTTTAGCTCCAGGTGAGCATTGAAAAGGAAGGCAGACGTTCCACAGGTGAGAAGCCACCACCGAGAAGACCCGGGCAGTGAGTGATATTTTTGACTGTTGAAAGTATCCTGCTTGAAGATCTAACACAGGAAAGCTGTCATTGCCGCCTTTGGTTGCTAGGTGGCATTATACTTCAGGAGAAGAAAAGACATGCTGGATGTGAATGGCAAACCACATTTTTTTTTAATATTTTTTTTATTTTCAA